GAGACAAGACAATCCCAAAAAACCAAAGCCCAAAACTTTTCTTTGATATAAGGATATAGCCACATAAGGTGATTAGGGTGAACATTGGAGAAATGGAAGAACTTTAGATAGGGCAAAGGGGAGGAAGGTGAAAAGAGGGGTCAAGGGGGAAGAATGATGGTGGAATGAGGTAGACATCATTACCCTAAGTACACATATAAGACATGAATGTTGCGAAAATACTTAGTGTACAACCAGTGTCTTGAAAAATTATGCTCTATATGTGTAATATGAAATGAATTGCATTCTGCCATCATGTATAACAAATAAGAATTTTTTTAAAAAAGCTTTATTTCCTTTCCCTGGACCTCCCTGAACTAGTAACACTATCTTTTTCAAGTTCTGCATAATTACATATATAAATAATGCTTACACAAAGTTTGTAGTGAGGTTTTGTTTAGACATTGATTCTTTCATTGAGATAAGACAGATTCTAAGTATATCATGTACTTTTAAAATTAAAAATATTTACTAAAAATGAACAGGTATCCTTTTCTCTCATATCTTCATTAGCAATGTTATGTTTTTCCAGGATATTATACCATTATTATTTTAATTCTATTTCTCTTCTTAACTGCTGCATTGGAGTACTTTATCAACTCTTCTATGAATCACACTTTTATGGACAAATCCACTGGGATTACAGGCGTGTGCCAGGCCTGGCCTAATTTSATAAGACTTTTGGGTATTTAAGTATTCAATCAAATCATTAAAATAAAGAGGATATTTTTACCATTTCATATTTTCTTAATTACAATAGTCAGACATTCCAATAATATTGAATACTAATACCTAAAGAAGTTAAATCTACTTACACCTGAATTTTTAATTAAACAGTATTTAATAGCATTTTAAGTTTTAGAAAAATAATTGTTGTTTGTTCTTAGTTAAGATCATATTTTACATTTAAATAGTTTCCTTATATTCTTAGAAATTTTGAATAGAAAGAGCTAGGTGATTATTATCATGATTATCAACCTATCATTGATTAGAAAGAACCTTACATGGAAATGGAATCATTCCTGTTTTCCTGAAATAAACTTCATTAAGCCATAGGTATTATAGATATTATTTTTTAATTAAATAATGTGTGAATTAGATATACTAGTATTTCCTTTTCAATTTTTTCATTTATATACTTCAGTGAGGTTAAACTTTTTTCTTTTTTAAAATTTTATTCTTTAATTTGTTCTAATTAGTTACACATGACAGCAGAATGAATTTTGACAGATTGTACACAAATGGATCACAWCTTTTTCTTCTGGCTGAACACACTGGTAGTGTTATCAGACATGTATATAGGGTAATAATGTCCATCTCATTCCACCATCATTCCATCCCTACAACCCCTCCCATAATTTTGTTCTTCTTTAAGGCTGAGTAATATTCCATTGTGTATATGTACCACAKTTTCATCCATTGATCTGTTGAAGGACATMAAAATTTAGCTTTTTGTGAATTGAGCTGCTATAACATTGAATGTGGTTGCATCACTATAGTATGCTAATTTTAAGTCCTTTGGGTGTAAACCAAGGAGTGGAATAACTGGGTCAAATGGTGGTTCCATTCAAAGTTTTCTGAGGAATCTCCATACCGCTTTCTATAATGGTTGTACCAATTTGAGGTCCTAGTAGCAATGTATGAGTGTACCTTTTTCACTACATCTTCGCCAACACATTGTTTCTTGTATTCTTGATAATTCCCATTATGATTCCTTTTTCTATCAGAATTTGGTATTAAACTATGCTGGATGAATAAAATGAACTGGAAAAAAAAACCTTCAATATTTATCCACTTTCAGGACCAGTGAAAAAAATTATTATCTCCTAATTTTTTAAAAGATAATTGTAAGCCACTTTGGTCAGGATGCATTATTTACCTTTCTTTTATTTTAATTTTTTTAAATTTTTTTTTCTTAAAACTTTTTATTATTGGTTGTTCACAACATTACAAAGCTCTTGGCATATCATATTTCATACATTAGAATTAAGTGGGTTATGAACTCCCATTTTTACCCCAAATACAGATTTCCTTTCTAAGGTCTTTTATAGTAATGACCTTTTCAAGTTTTATACTAATTGAGTCAGTTATAATAATCTAAATTTGTTAGGATATTCTTTTCATGTAAGTTCTATAACTCAACAATTCTGATTATGATTAGCTTATCTAAGGTCTCTGGTGGTCTTTTCTCTTACTCTTAATCATACATTTTGTTCAAATTATCAGGCTCAAGGTGGATTTTGCAATTTTGCAGAGTGATCTCTTATGATTTTCTTAATTTTTCTACATTACTTTTTTTGTTGTTTTTATTTTCATTTTTATTGGTGCCAACTTTTATCTGATCCTTCTTCCTAGTTTATTTCTTTACTTATTTTGTTGTCCTTTACCTAACTTATTTTGTTTGGCAAAGAAATAATATTTTCATTGAAGTAAAAAAGTCTTCACATTTAAGTTCAGGTAGTATAATTTTAATAAAGTGAGATTATTAGGCTAGAGATCAGAATATGTACTACAAGTTGGTCCCCATTAAGTCATGTGTGCTTTTTAGCAAAGCATTTTATCTGTGCCACTAATAGTTTCCACATCTGCACAATTAAAAAAGGTGTGTACAGCCTGAAGGTTTTTGTTAGGTACAAAAAAAATTTACACCTGCTAMCCTGTAAGTTAAGGTTATCTTGAAAGGTAAAACAAGATCTTGAAGAAAACACATCTAAATTACACTGCAGAAAACCGAGAAATATCTTAAAATTTGTTTTTAAATGTCTCATGTTGATAACATTCTCATATTACTTGGGGGAGAAAAGAAATAGCCTATGGTCAAATKATAGGTTTCAGGGACTCATGTCAGACAAACTACAAAACCTGTGATTTTTCAATGAAAAGCCTATGCATTTTATTTATAATTTCATTTGGACACATAGTCTTATTCATTAGATATGCAAAGTGTCTGGGATACAAGAGTGAAATTCAACTTTCTACCTTTGGTCTCTGATTAAATTTTTCCATGGTCATATAGTTTTCATACAATATAGCATATAGATTTTAATTCCTAATTAAAACTTTTTCATCACAGATTACTCATTAAGATAATTCACAGTTTAGAAACTTCTATACTGATAGCTTTTCTGACAAAAGGATAAATCACTCTAAGTTTGGCTTTGAATTTCAGAAAGAATTCAGAGAAAACAAATATGTTGCTTTATATGAGCTCTGTATGAGTTCTACAGATTTTTTCACTGACTTATATACTCTGCTGATTTCTTTAAATTTKGGGGAAGTAACATGTAAAAATACTTAATTTTTTGTTTTTTCTCTAAAGAGGTTTTTACATGTTTCCCAGGCAGGCCTTGATTTCCTGGTGTATGTCATCACACCTGCCAAACAAAAACTTTTTTTGATGAAGAGTTATTTGTCCTAATATTATTTGTGGATGGATTATATCTTCCATTTTATAACCAGAATCTATTTATTTATTTGTCTGTCTATCTATCTATCTATCTATYTATTTATTTATTTAATGTAGGGGTATAAGGGATTGAACTCTGGGACACCCAACCTATGAGCCACATCCCCAGCACTATTATGTATTTTATTTAGAGACAGAGGTCTCACTGAGTTGCTTAGTGCATCACTTGCTGAGACTGGCTTTAAACTTGGGATCCTGCTGCCTTAGCCTGCTGAGCCACTGGGTTTACAGGCATGCCCCACTATGCTCAGCAGTATTTATTTTTTATTGGTTCTTTTTAGTTATATATAACAGTAATATTCATTTTGAGATAATTATAAAAGCATGGAATATAATTTGTTCTAACTGAGACCCAATACTTCAAMTTTCCCTACCCTTGTACCCTTTCTGCTATTTACATATACATACCATACATATATGTATATATATGTATATATCTTGTGGATGTAGATGTTTGTGAGATTCACTCTAGTATATTCATATATCTACATAAAAAAGTTAAGTCAGATTCATTCACTTTATTTCCATATCCAACCTGCCCATCCTTCCTTCCATTCCTCTTTGTCTAATCCACTGATCTTTTTTCCATTCATTTTTATCTTTTACCCCCTTATTTTGAATGAGCTTCTGTATATCAAAGAAAACTTTAGTCCTCTGACTTTTCAAGGCTGGCTTATTTCACTTAGCATTATAAGTCTCCAATKCTATCCATCATTACTGACAAAAGTAACAAAGTCATTCTTCTTTACACCTGAATAATACTGCATTGTGTATACATACCAYATTTTCTTTACCCATTTGTTTGTTGAAGGACAGTTAGGTTTGTTACATAGATTGGCTACTATCAAATGTCTTGCTGTAAACATTGACATGGCCAGATCACTGTAGTATGCTGTTTTAAAATCTTTAGATATATACTGAGAAGTAGGATAGTTGAAACATAAGGTGGTTCTATTCCAAGTTTTTTCAGGAATTTCCATACTGCTTTCCAGACTRCTTGCACCAATTTATAATACCACCAGCAATGTTTGAGTTTACCTTTTTCCCCACATCCTAGGAAATATTTATTGTTATTTGTATTTTTGATAATTGCCATTTTGACTGGAGTGAGATGAAATATCAATGTAGTTTTAATTTGCATTTCTCTGATTGCTACAGGTATTGAATACTGTTTCATATAATTGTGGTCTACTTGTATTTTTGTCTTTTTAATTCCTTTGCTCATTTGTGGAATGGGTTATTTGTTTTTTGCTGTTAAGTTTTTGAATTCTTTGTATATCCTGTATCTATTCTTAAAGTTCAGAAAATGATAAGGTGATATTCCTTTAAGTGGCACTAAAAATATTATTATATTAACTCTTCTGGGGGGAAAATGAGGAATTATTAGTGGAGTAAAATATAGTATCATATAAGATAGTACAAATTCCAACATGGTAAACCAAGCTATGGAAAACTCAATACCATAATTAAATAAAKATGCAAGAGTACTACTTACGGATATAATTCTGAAAGCTGTTCAGCTATGGCATAAGCTGTTGGGTCTCTGTCTAAGGCATACAGAGTAATATCTGATTCCTTCTGCAGAATGGCTCTTGTGTGGCCTCCTGAACCAAATGTCATATCTAAAAAAACCTAGCCAAGAAAGAAAAAGAAAATTACCACTTAAAATAAATATAAGTAATTCTGGTCATCTATGTTAATTTCTTTACTTTTCTTTTTTGGTGTAAAACAAATYGTATTATTTATTTATTCTTTTTTAAATAAATGACAGCAGAATACATTATAATTCTTATTACACATATACAGCACAATTTTTCATATCTCTGGTTGTATATAGTTTGTTGACACCAATTCATGTCTTCATACATGAACTTTGGATAATGATGTCCATCACATTCCACCATCCTTGCTAATTCCCTGCCCCCCATTCTCTCGCTCCTACCCCTCTGCCCTATCTAGAATTCATCTATTCCTCCCATGCTACCCCTCCCAACCCCACTATGTGTCAGCCTCCTTATATCAGAGAAAACATTTGCCATTTGTTTAGCATTATCTTCTCCAACGCCACCCCTTTACCTGCAAATGCCATGATTTTATTGCTGAGTAAAATTCCATTTTGTATATATGCCACATTTTTTTTTATCCATTCATCCACTGAAGGGTATCTAGGTTGGTTCCACAGTTTAGCTATTGTGGTGAACTCTGCTGCTATAAACATTGATGTGGCTGTGTCCCTGTAATATGCTGTTTTTAAGACTTTGGGGTATAGACTAAGGAGAGGGACAGCTGGATCAAATGGTGGTTCCATTCCCAGATTTCCAAGGAATCTCCATACTGCTTTCCATATTGGCTGCACCAATTTGCAGTCCCACCAGCAATGTATGAGTGTACCTTTTCCCCCACATCCTCGCTTACTGTTGTTTGTCTTCATAATAGCTGCCATTGTGGCAGGAGTGAGAAGATATCCTAGGAATTAAGCCAGAGACTCTGTGTCTAATAGAAGAAAAAGTAGGCCCTAATCTTTATCATGTGGGATTAGACTCCTATAGTGCAAGAATTAAAACTAAGAATCAATAAATAGGATGGAATCAAACTAAAAAGTTTCTTCTCAGCAAAATAAACAATCTGTGAGGTGAATAGAGAGCCTACATCCTGGGGGCAAATTTTTACCCCTCACACATCATATAGAGCACTAATCTCTAGGACATATAAAGAACTCAAAAAACCTAAACACCMAAAAAMCAAATAACCCAATCAACAAAAGGGSCAAGGACCTGAACAGACACTTCTCAGAAGAGGATATACAATAAATCAACAAATATATGAAAAATGTTCATCTTCTGTAGCAATTAGAGAAATGAAAATCATGTATCTTAATTTCTAGAAGCCCATAAGAATAATTTGCAGAGACCAGAGCAAATGSAATTTTTTTTTTTGCCTAGAGTCAAATTCTAACATTTGTTTTCAAATTTTGTGAATATTTTTCCCTGTAATTTCTCCTGTTACCTACCATCTTTAACAACATTCCCCAATATACTGAATGAGTAACAAATGTACATACACCTATATCTAGGACAAAAATATYGTGGTGCATAGTGGATTTGGAAATAATGGCTATCAAATCCACATTCACTTATAGCATGCATTTTTAAATTTGAGCTTTATAGTTATACAAAATAGTTGGGTTCACCCCAACAAACTCATACATGCATGGAGTTTGCATTCAGTTTATGATCCTCACTCATCCCTCCTCCTTTTCCTTCAAATCCTCCCTTACCTCTCTCATATTCCTTCTTCTACTTTGCTAGACTTCCTTTTTCTCATTAATTGTTTATATTTGATTGGTTCTTTCTACCTACATATAAAGGTGAAGTTCCCTGYGGTATGTTTATATATGCACACAACATGATTTTTGAAGAATTCATTATACATTACCTCCCCTTCCTATCCCTAGAGTTGAATTTTTTATATACGCCATCTAGCTCAATTATGAGTGATCAATCTAAAAAACTGATCAGAGTATCAGTGCTGGTTCTTTCTTTCTCTCTCACTTTCTCCTCCCCCCATTCTTTGTTGTTACTTAACTAAATAACAATAATCCAAATCATACAAATAGTTCTCAAAGTGCCTGAACGTTTTATACTAAAGACAATCATTTGACAACCGAATGAGTGCAGTGACTATGAAAATACACCCCTTGCATCTCTACCAGGGAAGTGGTTTTCTGAATCTGTATGTGTCCGTCTGTCTGAGCTGACTCTTGAGTATTTTTATTATTATTATTTATTCTATATATGATAGCAGAATGCATTATAATTCATATTATACATATAGAGCACAATTTTTCATATCTCTATACACAAATTAGATTCACACCATTTGTATCTTCATACATGTACTTAGGGTAATGATGTCCATTCTCATTCTCAGCAAAAGTGAGGCGCTAAGCAACCCAGTAAGACCCTGTCTCTAAGTAAAATACAAAATAGGGCTGGGGATGTGGCTCAGAGGCAGAGTGCCACTGAGTTCAATCCCTGGTACTGCTCCCCCTCAAAAAAAAAAAAACATGGTCATACTACCAAAAGTGCTCTACAAATTTAATGCAATTCCAATTAAAATTCCAATGACATTCTTCATAGAAATATAGAAAGCAGTCATGAAATTCATTTGGAAAAATAAGAGACTCAGAATAGCGAAAGCARTCCTTAGCAAGAAAAGTAAACCAGGAGGTATCACAATACCATACCTCAAATTATTCTACCAAGCTATAGTAATAAAAACAGCAYGGTATTGACACCAAAACAGACATGTAGACCAATGGTACAGAATAGAAGACACAGAGACACACCCACATAAATACAGTTATTTAATACTAGACAAAGGCACCAAAAACATACATTGGAAAAAAAGGTAACATTTACAACAAATGGTACTGGGAAAACTGGAAATCCCTATGCAGCAAAATAAAATTAAACACTTCTCGCCCTGCACAAAACTTAATTCAAAGTGGATCGAGGACTTTGGCTCTAGATCAGTGACCCTGAACCTAATAGAAAACAAATAGGCCCTAATCTATATCATGTGAATTTAGGAAACTACTTCCTTAGACTCATAAAGTGTAAAAAATAAAATCAAGAATCAACAAATTGGATGAAATCAAACCAAAAACTTCTTCAGGGCAAAGGAAACAATCAAGATTGTGAAGAGAGCCTATAGAATGGAAATTTTCRCCAACTGCAAAAGAAAAGAAAAAAAAAAACAGCATTAATCTCCAGGATATATAAAGAACACAAAAACCTTAACACCTAAAAAACAAACAGCCCAATCAATGAAAGGGCAAAGAAACTGAAAAGACACTTCACAGAAGGAGAAATATGATCAGTCTACTAATATATAAAAAAATGTTTATCATCTATAGCAGTTAGAGAAATGCAAATCAAAAATGAGATTTCATCTTAACCCTGGCAAACTGGCAGTAACCAAGAAAATAAGCAACAATAAGTGTTGGTGAGAATGTGGAGGAAAAGGTACACTCATAAATTGCTGATAGGACTACAAACTGGTGCAGACATTCTGGAAAGAAGTAAGGAGATTCCTMAGAACACTTGGAAAGGAACCACTATTTGCCCCAGTTATCCCACTCCTCAGTATATATCCAAAGGATTTAAAATMAGCATACTAAGGTGATCTGGCTACATCAATGTTTATAGCAGCTCAGTTCACAACGTCTAAGCTATGAAACCAACCTAAGTGCCCTTCAACAAATGAATGGATAAAGAAAAAGAGATATGTGCACACAATGGAATATGACTCTTAAGGAAGAATGAAATTATGGAATTTGATGGTAAATGGATGAAATTGGATGCTATCCTGCTAAGTGAAAAAAACCCATCCCCCMAAACCAAAGGTTAATATGCTCTCTGATATGAATATTTTCTCTAATATGTGAAGGCTAACTCACAATAAGGGAGTGGGAGAAGAAAAGAATAGAAGTACTTTGGATTAGACAAAAGAGAATGAAGGGAAGCATCGGGGAATGGGAAYAGAAAAGATAGTAGAATGAATCGGACATTACTATTCTATAGGCATATATGATTACATGACCAATATAATTATACACCAGGTACAACCAGAAGAATGAGGAGTTATTCTCCATATATGTATATATCAAAATATGTTTTAGTATCATATAAAACTAATAGGAACAAATTAAAAATAAATAAAACAAATGCACATGAACAAATACATCTGAAAGTTTCAAAGGAATCCTTCTGTGATACTCATATATACCTGTATTTCAAATGTGTCTTTAACAAAAAAACCCTACAATGGTGGAATCTTCAAACTCAGGGTCTGATGCATTCTAAGCAAATGCTGAAGTTCTTTTTTGTTTTTTTTTTAAGTAGAAAGAGGTGAGGGCATTTGAAGAAAAGGAAACATTAACTGCCAATAGTTTTAGATGGATAGGAGGGTGTGAAAAACAGGGAAGAGCTGGAGGCTTCTACTCTTAGATAGTACCCAGAYAAGGGGCAAGAAGAATCTGAATTGGCAATAGTAATGGAGGATTATAGTAGTAGTAAAAGCAATGTATGTTACCTTTACAGTAAGCTTTATTTCAGGCAAAATGCTAATTGCTAAGAGCCACAGCCAAGTAATATGATGCATGGCATTTTTGGTTGAAAGGTGACACCAGCTAGCCATTGAGATGATATGATTATGTTAAGATTTGCATTCTTATGGATATTGGACTCCTGCTGTCCACCTCAGCCTGCTACAGGACTCCTGGAGAGTTCCCATTGGTTGGGGAAGTGCAGTAGGAGGGAATTCCGGAGGAGSAACTTCCTCTGGGGATCCGGAAGAACACCATGTGAGTGGATCAGCAATCTTCCCGGGCGCCTAAGGGGTATTGGCAGCAGTTTCAAAAAATAAAGTTTRTTTCTGCTTGAGTGGCTCGTGATTTTGTGCCCAGCCAGACTGTGGCAGCTAATCATTTTAATTGCATCATTTATTCATTTTATACATACCCATGAATACACACACACAACTGAATAATTCTAAAAGCTATATAAATACTGTGTTATTAACACTATTTTACAGAGGATAAAAGGGATGTTTAGACAGGTTTAAATAAA